TTCAGTAGTTGCCTGGCTGTTTATTGACACATTAGTTTTAATACCTTCTATGTTACTAATCTAGAAAAAAATGTGTACAGATCTGTATAGTCAACGTAAGTCAGTTCACAAGGAGTGTTCAGCAGTGGCAGCCTCCATGTTTCTCTTACAACAGGTTTCCTATGCCAGCAAAAAATAAATAATTTTATTTAGGACAATACAAGGAAGGGCTAGAGCCTCTGTTTTTATTATCATCTGTGCAACATATTTAGTAGAGTAAAGCTGGCCATACACTGCTCTATTTTTTCTTTCAACCCATGGGCTGAATGAAAAAAAATAGAACAGATTCCTCCATCAACGCTTACTAGCATTGATCAAGGAATCCCCGCTGTTTCCTTTGTATGCTGACAGTGGCCACCCAGAGATGCCGGCCAAAAGGGTGCCAACAAAGGTACACACTGTGCAAATTTTGGCCCGTTCCTGAAGAACTGGATGAGATCCGCATAATGTGTGGTCAGCTTTAAGAAGGCTTAGAACACTGACAATATTTTACCATCTATGCCAGATCTGGGTATTTTGCAATTCCCAGGCCACATCAAGCCCTTTGGCTGTCCCTGTCCGGCCTGTGGTCCAGCCAAAAACTAAGTGCCGGTTCTGTCGCCAACCTGCACATGGGTATGGCTGGCTGACAGTGGATGCGCCGGACTTCAGGTCTGCTCCACTGCCAGCCATAGCCCTCCTTGTCTTCTGTCATTGGTTGCTAGGACCGCTGGTGTCCTAGCAACACATGACATCAGTTGTCCACCTCCTCTGCAGTCACAGCCTCTGGTCTACTAATAAAGTAGTAAACTAGGGTATGTGGGAACAATAATATAAAGGGGCACTCTAAAGGAGACATTATCAAAACCATATAATTGACTGCTTTTTATTAAGCAATAAAATGAATATTGTGTAGAATTTCAGCCTATTGGTTCAGCCGTCCACAACAGTCCCAGTTTCTTATGTGGCCACTTGAAAAAATTAATTGCCTACCCCTGATCTATGCATTCATCTATGATCTGATCTATGCTTACATGTTCCAGGAAAACAACTGCCCCTTTCCCCAGTTCTTTATAGAGACAGGAAATTAAGGAAAATCTCCCCATTCCTTAAAAAAAAATGTCTGAGGTTTTGTGTATATATTAGAGGTGCACCGAAATAGAAATTTAAAAACCGAAACGAAACCGAAATATTTTGTTAAAGATTAATAATAAATAATATTTATTCTTTTTTTTGTTAAGAAAATAAGTAATATATTGCATATTAATATTATGTAGTCTTTTAGTCTTCTATACAGCCAGCAGAAGGAACGTTAGGCTTATTTTCAAATGTTTTCTTCTTTACTGTGCTGTAAAGAATTCAGTAGCTCAAGCTGACATTCACGCACAGGTGAATTCATCAGAGAAGTGACCACCATATAGCTCCATTTGAGGCTTTAATCACAGATAAAACATCAGCTTAACAACTTTTAACATATAACACCAACTCAAAACGATCATAATTTCCCTTTAAGGGGTATCTGGGGCAAGTTTTTTTTCCCCATAAAATAAAAAGTGAATTGAACAAAATTAAAATGCCTACCAGCTTAACTGATTTTAGTGCAGGTTTAAAAACTAAGGAAGATACATGTTTTGTGGCTTTGCGTGTATGTTCCATTTACATATCAGAAAAGACAAGAAAAACGTAAGAAGGTCAAATTTAAGACTTTAATAAAGTTACAGCCAAACATCAATACTTTGATTTGGTTATATAAAACAGATTTTGAAGGAGTGTTGATTGGCTTATCTGTACAAAGAGGTAGATTCCATCGTTTTACTTAAACATTCTTTGAAATAAACAGAGAAGTGTACAAGTTGATTTACTTAGCTTCACAACACACTATGATTGCAGATGCTTTTTTTAAGCTGCTGAGACATGTCACAGGTGATCACATACAAACTATATTCCGAAGCAAAACAGAAAATAAATTACAATGAGTATTATGATTACAGTAATCAAATTCTTGTAGCGCCGCCAGGCCATAAATACAGTAGCCATAGCAGTCCATGCAGCTACTATTGGGTCCCAGGGGAATGGGGGTCCAGTACTTTCAAAGAATTAATCACATAAACCCATCCACTTAAACCAGCTGAGATTCAGCTTACTGCAAAGAAGAAGCTCTTTTTTCTGGATCAAAAGAACTTTGATCGATCAAAATAATTTTGATCGTTTAAAAAAATTAACGATTAATCGAGGGATTGATCGTTAATTTCCGCAGCCCTACTTTTTTCATTTGATCCTTAGTGCAGGACCAGCAGAGCAATAACTCATAAGAAATAATTTATCTCTCTGAACAGCTCTGTCTGCATGTTCCAACCGCAGTGTTAAGGCGTATTAATAGGATCCCTGTAGTGGTGCATTATAAGCTGCTTAACTATGCCCATCAGTGTTAAAGGGGAGTGAATTATGGGCCACCCACCATCAAAATGTTGCTATGGGGGCCTGAGATTTCTAGTTACATCCCTATTGTAGCACATGGCAAAGTGCAATCTTCTCTAAATTAGAGACACTTCTATACTTAATACTGTCTTCTTAGAAGTGATAGTCTTGAAGTATATTTTTCTTACTTTTAAAATAATTAGGGTTACAACCACTATAAGGTAATTTTTTCTGTCTGTATCCTGCTGGGGAGATCTTTCTTTATTTCCTGTCCAGGAGACCCAGCAGGAAATGAGAATATGTTTCTCCAAACTGTGGGAATTGTCAGCAGAACAGATATCTGTATGGGATGATTTTCCCTCATTTCTTGCTCTGGCAACAATTCTAACATTTTGGATTTCCCTTCACATTCTTGGTGAGAAAGGTCACCAGGACAAACAAAAAGTTGAGATTGGGTCTAATACTTAACCACACTTACCCCCAAAAAGTTTTGCTTTTACATATACCTTAAAGTAAATCTGTGATAATGAAAGGATGTATAAGCTGACATCCCCATGCATAAGCAGACACTGTTAGGTAATCCTACATACCTTTCATTTGTCAGCCCCCAACAATCAGTGGGAACCTACTAGGTACTACACTCAGTATACAAATACCAACTCCCTTAAAGAAAAACTTCTTCTGCATCTCATAGCATGCATAGTGCCTTGCCAACCTATTGTGAGGCATGGCAATATAATTCTGGAATACATTAGGAGAAACAGTCTTGCTTCAGAATTCTAGAAAGTTGATATTTGCATATAGCAAATTAAAATGCTGGTTCATATACATTTTCCATATGGAAGATATACTTTAAAGCCCAACTTCATCCTTCTGGCAAATTTGATATTGTTAAGGCAGGAAAATAACCAATTTTGTAAATAATATTAACTATCAATCTTATTTCCTTATGCGTATATGATCTAAAAGTATCTATTATGTCAACTAGGAAATAGTTACCTTTACTTGTTGGAAACTGTAAGAAAATGATATATGTTTTCAAGGATTTTCAGAGACAGATGTGTCTACAGCTCTCCCGTGGCAGTATGCATATTAGAACAGTTCCCACTTGACGCAAATAAGTCAAAAGCCTGTACAAGCATCACGGAACAAATTAGGTCATCAATACTAGATATAAAAAATGATTATTTCACTGCTCTGTCCTATGTAGCTTGTCAGAAATATGGAGTTGTACTTTACAGTACCCATAGATATTAGACAAAGTTAATACATTAGGACACAGCATAGGTAATTCATGAAATGTCCTTTGTATTATGTCAAAGGTAAGCAAAACATTGCTATTATAGCCAAATACAATGACATCTGGATTTACAAGAAGGGAACAATAAAAGTGTTCACACAATGATCATATACACAGACAAATCATTAAAAAAATACAAATCAGCAACACTATCTGTGCAGACGAGAGTAACCAAAATAGAATATAAAACCCACAAGAAAAAGCACCCCCTGAATCAGATGTTCACACCATAGAGATTATATGAAAAAAAATGTAAAATAGCTTTATTATAAATTATATAAATGTACAACACCCCAGC